AAATCCACAAAGATTATCTCTAAAAAAATAATCAAATTCCAAAACACTTCAAACAACAGAAAAATGTGCAAAAAAGGCACAAATAACAAAAAACAGCTGAAATTGAGGAGAAGTCAAGGCGTAAACAAAACAAGACTTTTTTTAAAATAAAAGCGTGAAAAAAGTTGATTTATTTTTGTGTAAAGAATGTGCTGAATAAGTGAGGAAGAGAAAACACGTTTTTGTTGATGAATTTTTGTGTAAAAAGCTTTTTAAATTCGTGAGATTTAAGAAAAAGTTGAGTCAGTTTGTGGTCTCTTTTGGAAGGTTTTGAAATTTTCATGAATTTTTTCAATTTTTCTTGAATGCTGTGGGTGAAGCCAGAGCCTCTCAAATGTTTCACCACTAAAAGCATTCGAATTTGACTCCAAATCCATCCTTCAACTTCATTACTTCCCAAAAAATGCCAAAACTTTAGTCAACAAGGTGTGGCAATCAAGAGACTTAAAAGATGTGTAAAGTGAATCTATTGTTGCTTAAACAGATGATCAAATTGTTGATGATGATGCTTAGATCTTCTTTGTATTTATTTTATTGTGCATGCAGACAAAAAAAAATAAGAAAAATTAAATTTCATCACAGCATCATTAAATTCGGCTTAGATTCTCTTTTTCTCTCTCTTTTGGGATTCTTTGATTGTTTTGTTTGAGGCACAGTGGTTCTCAACGTTTGTGATCTGATGCGACTTTTGTTTTTCTTGGTTTTTGGCTCTCAATTTTTGGTTTTTGGTTCTCAATTTTTGGTTTTTTCGGTTCTCAATTCTTGGTTTTTCGGTTCTCAATTTTTGGTTTTTGGTTCTCAGATTTTGGTTTTTTGATTCTTAACTCTTGGTTTTTTGGTTCTCAATTCTTGGTTTTTGGTTTTTTGGTTCTCAATTCTTGGTTTTTGGTTCTCAATTTTTGGTTTTTGGTTCTCAATTCTTGGTTTTTTGGTTCTCAATTTTTGGTTTTTGGTTCTCAATTCTTGGTTTTTTGGTTCTCAATTTTTGGTTTTTTGGTTCTCAATTCTTGGTTTTTTGGTTCTCAATTTTTGGTTTTTTGGTTCTCAATTCTTGGTTTTTGGTTCACAATTTTTGGTTTTTTGGTTCTCAATTCTTGGTTTTTGGTTCTCAATTTTTGGTTTTTTGGTTCTCAATTCTTGGTTTTTTGGTTCTCAATTTTTGGTTTTTTGGTTCTCAATTCTTGGTTTTTGGTTCACAATTTTTGGTTTTTTTGGTTCTCAATTCTTGGTTTTTGGTTCTCAATTCTTGGTTTTTTGGTTCTCAATTCTTGGTTTTTTGGTTCTCAATTCTTTACTGGAACTTTCATGTTTCTATCTTAGACTTGTGGTTGTTAACATCTGACTCAAAGAATGCAGAACTGATACTTTTGAATGAAGAAGAGGAAATGAGCTTTTGTGTGGCATTTTTGCGAATTGAATCTATTGAATCTTAATGGCACGAGTTTGAGATTAAAAGTTGAAGACTTGTTTTGGTCGTTTGAGGTAAAATGTTACAATGTTGCGGATCTTCAAGGTTTTTAGTACTACATTGAAGATTTCTTGATGTTGACCTTTAATGACCGCCTAAATCATCCAAATTAACCCACAAATCTGTCCTTAGCGTAGCCATTAATTAAATCTTAATAATTTGCCCGCCCATAACCTCAAAATTCATTCATAATTAATCAATCTTTATATTTTAAAAACAAATAAATAATTCAAATTTGACCACCAACACTAAAATCTTCACACGATGCGAAAAGACCTAACTCAATGATTTTTTCTTTACTTCCGAATACCTTCGTCACAAAAAACCCACAAAAACAGTCAAAAATTAATGACATAAGTGGATACAGACATAAAATAGAAATAAAAGTCAGCAATTGAATAAGAAGTTTAACATTTCGTGACTTGCCTGACTGACGTTTGCCTTTGCATAGTAAAAAGTTTGATAAATTTTGGATTTTCGCTGATGCAGTTTAAATAAATTTTGTAAGCCACATTTCAGGCTGTCCATGACATTTTGTAAATGTTTGAATCAAATTGTGACTCACTTGCTTCATCCTCCAGATCTTAATCATCTCCAACTTCTTCAAACCTCACAAACTCCTTCAAAACTTATCAAATTGACGTCCAAACCAGTCAGTCAACCTCAAATTCACTTAAAAACAGTTCTTATCGAAAATATTTCAACAACAAAAAAACAATGAAAGTACAAAATACAATTTCAGTGCGTATTGACGTGTTTATTTGGTTTAATTCCAGTTTAATCTTAAGATAATGATAACAACTTACAACATACAATATCAAGCTCGTTTGATGTAATGTCGGATTTGAGTGAGTAATAGATAAGGTTGTGAATGGGTTTGTTGAGTAATCGTGAGAAGTTTCTGGAGTTTTGGGAGCAGGGGTGTGATTATGAGTTTTTGAGGCATGAAGAGATGAAATTTTGGAAGAAAATTCTTCTATTTTGTCTATCATAAATTGCGAATGCCTTCCTATTTCGCACTAAAGTTATTTTTTAATACCAATGACTACTTATGTCATAAAAGAAGTCGGATAAAAAAATAGAAAAATTTATTTTGAGTGCCAATTTCGGTGTCTTTTTAGTCGAAAAGTTATTTATCAAATATTTGTGATGATGGCAGTCATAAAAGTGTTTTAATTGCTGCTATGGCTTTTGCGTCTTAGTTAGGAAAAATACTTAAATTGAATGGCTTTGTTGACAGGATTGATAAATAAATTTTAAAAAACTTACAATTCGATTGCAAATCAAGCACAATTAAAATTTTAAAGATTCCTCAATTTTTTTGTGTCGGTCAAATTTGTGCTTCATTTCTAATTTTTAATTACTTCATTGCAGTTAATTGCAATCAGTCACGAACAAAGAATTGAAAAAAATAATTTTTTATCATTAAAAGTAATAAAATTCATTACCGAATGTTGAACTACACGATGTGTGCTCATATTATGCCATTATATAGAGTCTATAAAGTGCAATTTAAGTTATGACTTAATGAAGTCAAATTCGATGTAATTTTTAAGAAAATTGTGAATTTTTATTGCAGTTGATGACTTTTTTAACTTGAAGAAATTTTTTCATTGGAAATATTTTTAAAAAAATTATAAATTTGCATTAGAAAGTTGATAAGTGGATAATTTATGAGCATAATGAGATGCCGGCTTGGTTCAAAGTACTTAATTGAGGGGAATTTAAATGTTTTTGGTTTTGTGCAAATTGAAGATAATTTGTGGATTGTTTTATTATTTTTTTAAAAATAAAAGATTTTATTATTTTATAATTTTTAATTATTTTTGCTTGAATTTTTTTGGGTTTTTAATTTTTTAATTATTTCTAAGTTTTTAATTTTTTCAACTTTTTCAATTTTTCCATTATTTCAATTTTAAAACATTTTTGGATTTTTTAAACTTTTATGAATATTTTTCAACTTTTTTGAATTTTTGAGTTTGATTTTTTTCAATTTTTTCAATTTATAATTTCCAATTTTGTTAAATTTTTTTCATATTTTTAAAATTTTTTGATCTTTTCTGAATTTTCTTACTTCTTTTGAACTTTTTGCAATTTTTTAAAATTTTTGCAATTTTTTTCAATGTTTTCAATTTGTTTAAAACAAAACTTTCATAACTTCCAGCATAAAGCCATTCATATCTTATTGCAGTAACTTCCAACAAACACACATTACAGTTAGTCTATCAGCAGTCAATATTTACCAACTTGTCACATGTCTATTTATATTTATTTGCTCCAATTTCTATTCAACTATTCAAATAACCATAAAAATGCTTACAAAATTTGCTTCATTTTTCAATAAAAAAACTTCAATTCATAAAAAGTAACAATTTTTTCTAATCACGTTTGTCAAACAATTTCAATACTTTTTTATGGCTTCAAATATTTGTGAGGAAGTCGCGGAACTGTCTTTGTTTAGCTTATCTTGAAGATAAATTTGAAAACTTATTTGAGTGATTGCTTTTCAGGTGCGGTGAAGTTTGAATGTTAAAATAATTATCAGCACTGCTTAGGTTAGGAAATTTAGATTTTTATCAATGCCTTTTGTGTTTTGTGTTCTTAATTTGCTGTGTTTTCAATTGAGTTGATAATGGAAAATATTTATTTACTTAATTTACTCGCAACCTGTTCACAATATTTGCTAAATTCTTCTTCTTTTGCATCCACTTTTGTTATCATGAGGCACTTATCGAGTGCAAACAAAAGGAATTGAATGAACTGCAGAGGTTTGACCTTCAGAAAATGTAGAAAAATTGGCAATAAAGTTGAAACCTAACCTCAAAAGATTTGAATCAAACCTTAGAAGACTTGAATCTAACCTCAAAAGACTTGAATCAAACCTTAGAAGACTTGAACTTAACCTCAAAAGACTTGAACCAAACCTTAGAAGACTTGAACCTAACCTCAAAAGACTTGAACCTAACCTCAAAAGACTTGAACCAAACCTTAGAAGACTTGAACCTAACCTCAAAAGACTTGAACCTAACCTTAGAAGACTTGAACCTAACCTCAAAAGACTTGAACCTAACCTCAAAAGACTTGAACCTAACCTCAAAAGACTTGAACCAAACCTTAGAAGACTTGAACCTAACCTCAAAAGACTTGAACCAAACCTTAGAAGACTTGAACCTAACCTCAAAAGACTTGAACCTAACCTCAAAAGACTTGAACCTAACCTCAAAAGACTTGAACCAAACCTTAGAAGACTTGAACCTAACCTCAAAAGACTTGAACCAAACCTTAGAAGACTTGAACCTAACCTCAAAAGACTTGAACCTAACCTTAAAAGACTTAAACCTAACCTCAAAAATATTGAATTTAACCTCAAAAAAGTATTGAACTTCAAAAAATTGTGAAATTTAAAAACATTGAACCTAACCTCAAAAGACTTGAACCTAACCTCAAGAATATTGAAACTAACCTTAAAATTCTCATTTGCATCTATTTTCAGTCAATCACCCCTTATTAAGTATCACGCACGTACCAGTCAGCTCCTGACAACATCATCATTGTGCAATATTCAGACTCAACCAACCCTACAACATCAAAAAAAACAATTTTAATTTAAAACCAACATCCCCCCTTCCAAAATGATGGCCTACAACTCCCCATCCAATGGCGGCTACTCAGGTGATGAGCGAGGCGAGTCACCACGCTCTAATGACTTGGACGACTCACAATTTGATGGCGATATGAGTGATAAGCCAGTCTATTTGTTGGAACATTTAGCAACATTTACAGTCAATAAGGAATCAGGAATTTTATATCCAGCTGATGGAATGAGGAAGTTGTTACAGTTGGAGAAGACGACTGGCATTTGGTCGCAGAAGATGCAATTGTGCTTGGATAGACAGTGGGTGCTGATAATGGATTATGAGACTGGGGTAAGTTTTGATTTTGGTTGACATAACCTCAAAATGCTGAACTAAAGCTCAATAAATACTAACCTTATCCCCAAAAAACTGAACTTGTCCTCAAAAATACTGATCTTATCCTCAAAAATACTGACCTTAACTTCAAAAATACTGGACCTAACCTAAAAAATAACTTAATTTATCCTTAAAAATACTGACCTTATCCTCAAAATACTGACCTTATCTTCAAAAATACTGAACTTATACTCAAAAAATACTGATCTTATCCTTACAAAAAATTGAACGCTTCGTCGAAATCATTGAATTTAACACAATTTCTATACAATTTCAGAACATAATCGAGAGATTTCCTGCAACTTTGATCCAAGAACCAACAGCATTCACAAGCAACGATCCAATTGAGATGTACAACAACATCCTCGTCTTCATTGTCGGTGGAGAAGCTAGTGCTCGATCAGAAATGCACATTTTCCAAGTAAATTGCCTTATTCCTGACATAATCTATTAAATTCTAAAATATTCAACCTTTCTAGTGCCAAAGCATCTCAGCAATTCACCTCGTCGAGGACCTCAAGGCATTAAGAAGTGGCAAACTCATCACAAAATACCGCGATCCACTTCCATCGTCCAGTAAACCATTAGCAACGTCATCATCGCACAACTCACCGAAAATATCAATGATTCGCTCAGAACGCCATGCAGTAGACGACACAGACTCAGAATTAGGTGTAAATGATGAGACATCATCGACATCGTCGGAAAAATACGAGAGAGACGTGACTGTCCTGAACCACTGCTTCGATGACATCGAAAAATTCATTGCAAGACTTCAACATGCAGCGGCTGCATCACGAGAGCTTGAGAGACGACGTAGAAGCCGACGAAGTAAGAAAAAGGATCCTGGCGAGGGACTTTTGACACTCAGAACGCGTCCACCACACGAGAAAGAATTTATTGACATTTTTGCAAAATTCAAGCTAAGTTTTAATCTTCTGGCAAAGCTCAAGTCACACATTCACGATCCAAATGCTCCAGAACTCGTTCACTTTTTATTTACGCCACTTGCACTTATTGTTGATGCATCACATGACACATGCTATGATCCTAATTTACCAGCACGTGTCGTTGAGCCATTACCAACACGAGATGCTATCAATTTGCTTCACAATTGTGTCACGAGCAAGGAAATGGAACTGTTGAGGTCGTTAGGTGAGCTTGATGAGAATAAATTAATAAATGGGTGACATAACCTCAAATTTGTTGACATAACCTCAAACTTATGGATATAACCTACAAATTTGGTAACTTGTCTTAAAATTGAGTGACATAACCTCAAATTTGAGCACTTAACCTCAAAATGACGAACTTAAGCAAAAAAATCAAGCAACATAACCTCAAAAACCTAAAATTTTCCTCGTTCATTTCAGGTGACGCATGGATGATTCCACGTGACAAATGGAAGGGCCAATATGGTGCCAACTACCATCCAGTCTTCTTTGATGGCTGGTCTCCAGACTATCCAGTAATTGATGAGCTTGAAGCAAAGAGTCGTCGACTTGATTACAACGATTTCGAAGAGTTCGAACAACCAGCTGTCACCAAGACTGGATTACAAACTGTCGCATCGACAGGTTCGCCCGTCTTTAAAGACTTTTCTGCACGTAGTGAAATTTCAATTGACTCCATTGAGCGCAATGGTGGTGCGACTGTCGTTGATCGAGCACCAAGCGGTAGTGGAATTGATCCGCAAACAGAAGCGTGGCTTGAGGAGCTTCATGCTCGCGATGCTAAAATTGTTCAAGTGACATATCCGCGAACGGCCAACAATGATAAAGAATTGACAGTTGTTCGTGGGGAATTCTTAGAAGTTTTAGATGACACAAGGAAATGGTGGAAAGCGAGAAATGTTCGAGGACGAACTGCTCATGTTCCACATACAATTGTGACGACATACTCGTATCCTGATGGTCGGGATGATATGTATGGAGGACCACAATCGAGTGGATACAAGAGGGTGAGTTATTGGTCAGGATTATGTTAGGTTTAGGAGCCCTAATCGGGTGTTATAAAGAATACAGCACTAATCTGGCACATCTCATTATTTTAGGAGGAATCAAGTCCCGCAACACCGAACGTAATGCCAGCTGAGTGGGTTCGCAACAAGCACGTGGGTAAGAAGGGCGAATTTCGATATTTTTAAGAGCAAATCAGTTTTTTTCTTAATTTTAAAAGATCAAAAAAAAATATTTTTTATCATTAATTATGTTCGTTAAAACAAAAACTCATAAAACAATTTTTTTATGTTTGTATGTCACAGTTTTTATATGTATGTGTAACTTATCATTATAATTATTATTATTATTTCTATTATTATTCATGAGAAAGCTATGTTAGGTTCCATAGATCTGTGTAAAACATTTATTTCTGTTGTAGTTTTTTTTAAATTTCGTTTTGTTTTTCAAAAATTCAAGTAAGTTGGAAAATTATGTAATGAGCATCTCAAGATTAAAGCATATTTAGGCTGGATTTTGTCACATTTTCATTTAATTTGTTTCTGTTTAAAGTTTCATGTTGAAATTTTAGAATTATTTGAGAGGATTGAAGCAAAAACTGAGAGTTCAGGTGCCTTGACACTAGAGTTTTGAGGTTCGGGTGCCTTCACACTAGAGTTCTTAAGTTCAAATGCCTTTACACTAGAGCTGTAAAGATCAGGTGCTTTTAAACTAGAGTTTTAAGGTTTAGGTGCATTTAAACTAGAGTTTTAAGGTTTAGGTGCCTTCACACTGAAGCCACTAAGGTTAAGGTGCCTTGACACTAGAGTTTTGAGGTTCAATGCCTTCACACTAAAGATCTAAAGTTTAGTTGCCTCTACACTAGAGCTATTAAAATTAAGGTGCCTTCACACTAGAGTTTTTAAGTTCAGGTGCCTTTAAACTAGAGTTTTAAGGTTTAGGTGCATTCACACTTGAGCCACTAAGGTTAAGGTGCCTTAACACTAGAGTTCTAAGGTTCAGTTGCCTTTACACTAGAGCTAATCAAATTAAGGTGCCTTTACACTAGAGTTTTTAAGTTCAGGTGCCTTCCCACTAAAATTCTAAGGTTCAGTGCCTTCACACTAAAGTGCCAAGGTTCAGTTGCCTTTACACTGCAGCTATTAAAATTAAGATACCTTTATACTAGAGTTCTTAAGTTCAGTTGCCTTAACACTTGACTTTATAGTTTCAATTTTGGTTCAATCCTCCAAAAAATCCATTTCTATGTCCATTGTTCAATACCATTCCCTTTTGTGTGCTTCTTTATTCATCATAAATTATTTTCTAAATCATATTGTCAATAGCAGACAAGAAAATCTAATAATTTATCATTTTTATATTAATTTTCAATGTTTCAATCAGGTAACAACACAATGATCACATTCACAACTCATTTATAGATTCTTGTAGCCTATTTTTATTTTATTATTATTTTATTTGATACATCACAAAAATTGATTGTCGTACATCACATTAAACAAGTTGGACATGAAGTCACATGAAACTTTACTAACATAACAGATTTTTTTTCGTTGTTTTTCTGCAATATCAAATTGATTTTTTTTTTGTCTAAGGAAATATTCATAATCAGTAGAATATAAGTCAAACCATTCCCATCAACCAAAAAGTATATAATCAGTTATGACATTAATCCACTATTTTATGAGAAATAATATTTTTTTTGACGCGATGATGAATTTTTAAAAGTTTTTTTTTTGAGAGATAGTCGCGTAGTTTTAAGGAATATGAATGAATAGTTTGAGGATTTTGAGGTTGATTTCACTTAAATTGAGGTTCAGGTGTCTTCGCGCTAAATTTTTTGAAGTTAGGTGCATTTACACTAGTGTTCTAGAGGTCTAGATGCCTTTACACTAGTGTTCTTGAGGTTGAAGTGCCTTTACACTAGTATTAAGGTTCAGGCGTCATTACATTAGTGGTCTTGAGGTTCAGGTGCCTTTACACTAGCGTTCTTGAGGTTGAGGTGCCTTTACACTAGTATTAAGGTTCAGGCGTCATTACATTAGTGGTCTTGAGGTTCAGGTGTCTTTACATTCGTATTCTTGAGGTTTAGGTTACTTTACACTGGTAGTGTTGAGGTTCATGTGCCTTTACATTAGTGTTCTCGAGGTTCAGGTGCTTTTACACTAGTATTTTTAAGGTTTAAGCGCCTTTACATTAGATAAGTGTAGTTCAAATGCCTTAACACTAGATTTTGAGGTTCAGGTGCCTTCACAATAGATTTTTAAAAATTCAGGCTCTTTTACATTGAAGATTTTTTTGAAATCAGGTGCATTCACATTTAATTTTTAAGTGAAGTTGTATTCACAATGGAGTTCTGAAGCTTGGGTGCCCTTACAATGAAGTTTTGGTATTCAGGTTTATTCACACAAGAATGCATGATTCAGCTGTCTTCACACTAAGTTTTTAAAAGTTCAGGTGCATTCACACTTGATTTTTAAGTGAAGGTGTTTTCACAATATAGTTTAGACATTAAAAAGCCTTTGCACAAAGTTTTGTGATTCAGGCACCTTCACATTACAGAATTGAGATTCAGGCGCCTTTACACTAGAGTTTTAAAATACAATTTTAGTGAAATCAGTCTAAAATTCCTCAACTTACAAGCAATCATCTAAACCATTTTTCCATAACAATTATCACATGGTTGCTAATCAAACCTATTCGATCAAATAAACAAGATCAACATCACCTAATATACATAATAAATATAAATTTAACCTTATCTACATGCAAGTGTAGCTACACTCAGAGAAAATTTCTTTGAAATATTTCCATAAACTGTTGCAATTTATTTTTATTTTTATTTTCCGATTTTATTAATAAAGTTTGAATGTTGTTGAATGAGTGTAAAAAAATAAATAATTGCGTAGGAACAATAGAGCTAGTTAAGCTTGTAGAATGAGGAATTAAAAAAAAATATGAGAAAATAAGAATCGTAGTCGTTATGAAAAAATAAAAAGTTACGTAAAAAAATATTATAAAAAAAGAATCTAACATTTGAAGTTAAAGAACTAGAATTATTGAAAAAAAAATTATAATGACTTATTGGAAATTGGAGACAATAATTTAGTAAAGACAAGATGTTGAAAATTTGAAGAAAAAAAAGAAAATCGTGCATTTTTATTTATTAAATTAGAATTCTTTGGCTGGTAGAGTTGTGATAGGAGTTGGATTAGCTCAGTGGTGGGCAACCTTTTTTGTGCCATGGCACACCTTAGTGGTAATGACTAAATCCGCACACAGCATTCGGTTTTAGTATTTTTCCACCTAGTGTGTCGCGGCCCATAGGTTTTCCATCACTGGATTAGCTTTATCATAGCCTCTAAACCTGAACCAGGTCAGCTTTATCTAAGATTGTTCACAAATCCTGATCACCGTCCATGTTCTTAGCTTAGTCCTTAGCTGCTTTCTGTTCAAGCTTTTTAGTAATTTTTTATAGAATTTCTAGTGCAATAATTATTTAAAAAAAATCAAGCTACACAATTTTTGACTCCACACCCAACAAATAAACAATCGAGTGCTTGCATATCCATCCACACATAGTACACATCATAAAAAAATTATTTGGCATTTTTCACAATTTTAAGTCAGTCCTGATGATGATGACGAAAGTTGGTAAGTTGGTACAAATTTTTTTCACACATTTCACGATTGCTTTTGACTCATCCAAAAACTTACTAACTTACTTATCTGTTTACTAATTCTAGTTTACCAAAATTTCTGACTCAATTTTCATTTTTTCACTTTTCTAACCTTAAAAAAATTAATTTTGGTGGTTTTTTGTGCTTATAAATTTTGAGTAGAAGCTGCTTAATAATTGACTGCTTTTTAGAACTTAGATTAGATTTAATTTTAATTTTACTAATTTAAATTCAAATTTTATTGTTTTATTTTCATGAAAAATCTTTAAAAAAAATCCATCAAAAAAACTGACACAATTAACCTTAAAAACTGTCTCAAAATTCATGTAATTGTGTCCACAAAAAAACACAAAACCTAACCAAAAAAAAAACAAAAAACATAACCTCAAAAAAATAAGGTCGCTATACTTCGCATCAATCAGATCAAAGTTCATATGATGGTGACATGTATACTAATAACAATCATCAGCCGTACCATCAAAGCACTAATGTTAATAGAAATTCATCGGTATTATACAGCACTGCGGCATTGCGCCCAATATCACGCACTGATGAGAACAATAATACTAAGAAACCACCAGTTCCACCGCCATTACCGCCAACAACACCAACCACACCATATGCAACTTTACGCTCGATTAATAGCGAGCGTGACTTTGAGAGGCAACAGAGTACTGCTTGTAAGGAATTCTATTTTTTAACTTTTTTTTTGGAATTTTGAGGTTAGGATTTGGCTTTAGATCACAAAAAACTAGAGTTTATCTTCAAAATTTCACATTTTAGACTCAAACTATAAAAAAAATTAAAAATAACCTCAAAACTTCCCAATTTTAAGCTCGCAAGTCAACCCAAGACCAACAAGTCGACGACATGCAAGAGGAACTCAAAAATGTCCTGGCTCTGTTCCGTGATCGTCGTAAGCACTTGGAAATCCACAAAACACCAGACGTCTTTATCACACAAACATCAAATCCAGCTGAAATAGAAAAGTGGCTGAGAGCTAAAGGCTTTGAAGAACGGACTGTTAAGAAGTTGCATGGGTTGAGTGGAAATGAACTGTTTGGTCTTAAAAAGCACACTTTGGAGGACTATTTTGGTATTGAAGAAGGACGGAGATTAGCTAGTCAAATTACGATTCAGAAGAATGTTTCTGGGGTAAGTTTTGCGACTTTGAAGTGATATTTTGCGTCTAAGTAGCAAAAGTTTGCATTTTTGAAGAAAAAGTTTGCATCATTGAAGCAAAGGTTTGCATCTTTGAAGCAGAAAATTGCATTGTTGAAGAGAAAATTCGCATCTTCGAGCGAGAGTTTGCATCTTTGAAGCAGAAAATTGCAGTGTTGAAGAGAAAGTTCGCATCTTCGAGCGAGAGTTTGCATCTTTGAAGCAGAAGTTCGCATCTTTGAAGCGAAAGTTCTCTAAAGCAGAAATTTGCACCTTTGGAGCGAAAGTTGGCATTTTCGAAGCAAAAGTTCGCATCGTTGAACCTTAAATTCATGTCTTTGAAGTAGAATTTTGTATCTTTGAAGAAAAAGTTCGCATCATTGTAACAAAAGTTTGCATCTTTGAACCTTAAGTTCACGTCTTTGGAGTAGAATTTTACATCTTTGTGACAGAAGATCTGATCTTTGAAGCAAAAGTTTGCATCCTTGAAGCAGAAATTTACTACTTGGATGCGAAAGTTCGCATCTTTGAAGCAAAAGTTCGCAACTTTAATTTGTCTTTTTCTTAACTTTTCAGTACAAGACAGCAAGATCATCAGAATTAATGGCAATTTTGGCAAAGGCACGTCAAAAAACCGAACAACCAAACGATAGACAAAGCATTGGAAATGAAGTATTCTAAATTATAGCTATAAAATTATGCAGTGTCTAAAGCTTTATGAACGTTAATGAGAATTTATTTTTATATATTGAAAGATTTTATGTTGCTTGTTATCAAATTTTATATTTCTCAGTTGATTATTTTTTTTGGGGATTAGTTAACAATTAATAGAAATTTTACACTTAGATTCAAACAAAAAAGTATTAAAAATGAAATTATAATAAAAAATTATTAAATTTTGGAGAGTTAAATGCAAAAAGTGCTGATAAAATGAAACCGAGGGCCTTAAAAATTAAAAAAATTAAAAACAGAGATTTTTAAAAATATTGCAGAAATATAAGTGCATTAAAATATAATCAAAAATATGTCATATCAAATTAATTTGTGATTAACAAAAACCAAATCTGCTTTTCATTTAATAAAATATTGTAAATTAACATTCTGCAAACTTAATCATTAAAACAAATAATTTTTTTTCGAGAACTTACATTTGGGCTTTTTAGTAACTGGTTGCATCCAAGGACAGTGGTTCTCAACCTTTTTGAATATGGGTCCTAGCGATTCGTGGAGTGTAGTTTGAGAACCACTGGCTTATCTGATAAAGCTAGTATGTCTTTGAGGTGGTATTTAACCCTGCCTTCAAATAGGTTAACACCCCTGCCTTAAAGCTACATCCAGGAGCTACCCCAAGTAACTGTCTATCCTTCTCAACACCTGCAATCTGTCACTTGTTATAATTATTTGACACCTTCTTCAAATCACTTAATAAACATTATTTTGTATAAAATCATCAATCCAAAAATGTAAAATATGTAAAAATAAATAAATAAATAAACTTTAAACAAAAAAAATCATTTTTTATTCAATTAATGTCAAATCATTTAGCAGGAACAATAGGAAATCTATTAGAAAAAGGCCCAATCTGTGCTGAATAAGCCATAACCATCGGAATGCTGCTCTGTTCATAACTTCCAGTCAATAAATGAGCCCAAGGTCCATCAGCATATACTGCAACATCTTCAGCTGCATGAGTTTCAGAACTAAGTGGAACCATTGACTGATGTGTCCTCCTTGATGCTGTAAAGTCATCATCTGTGATATCTCGACGAACTCCGTTCACAAATGTGTTGCCATACGATGGTCCATTGGCATAAGATAAAGTTTCAAAAGGCACACGATTGCTATCTCTCATGGCGATTCCTAAGACATCCTGCCATCTCCAAGGATATCCAGAGTATGTGAAGACATGACTGTGATCAGATGTGACGACAATCATTGTATCATTGCTGTCTGTAAGCAGCTTAGCTAGTTCAATTGCTCTTGCAAATTCAGCAGTTTCATCCAAAGACTGTCTGGCTCGATTTGCATGATGTGCATGATCAATGCGACCACCTTCAACTAATAAAAAGAAGCCATTGTCATCCTTTTTCAGCATTTCAATCGCCTTCCTTGTCATGTCTGTTAAAAGTGGTTCCTGTCTTAGCAATCGATTGTCAACAATGTCATTTCTGTACATGCAGTGATCGCTCTCGAACAGTCCCAAAAGATAATCAGTCTTGTCTACATCAATCTCATCTAATTGTTGTCTGTGCCACACATATTCAGCCTTTCCAGCTTGATTTCTTTCCTGAATCCATTCTTCAATCAAATTACGTCCATCAGTTCGACGACCTAAAACATTTTCCTCATCACGGACTGTTGCATTGATGAAATTGCGTCGACCACAACCAAGGATGACTTTAAACTTTTGGGCTTCTTCATTGTAGACGAGCTGTTCGGCAATGTCGACTGTACGACGGGTTTTTGTGCCACATCTTGCTGCCATATCTGCGTTATTTTCCCAAGATCGGTGTGGAACGTGAGCATAAGCACTGGCTGGTGTCTAGAGTTGGGGAGGATATATGATAAGTTTTTATTAGAATTGATGCTAAAGTTTGCATCTTTAAGGCAGAATTTTGCATCTTTTAAGCAAAAGTTTGCATCTTTGAAGCAAAAATTTTCATCTTTAAAGCAAAAATTTGCATCTTTGAAGCAAAAATTTGCATCTTTGAAGCAGAAGTTTGAATCTTTACTTACCGCATGCGTGATTCTAGTTGTTGTGACAATTCCAGTTGCCATACCTGCGTCCTGAGCCCACTTAGCTATTGAGTATGTAATATCTGAATCCTCAAAATCACAGTTTGCTCTCGGAACATTTGCAGATATACCGAGTCCTTGATAATTGTTTTTAACTCCATGAAGAAAAGCGTTTGCTGTTAAAAATGAAAATGTGAATTAGAATTCTAGACTTTGTCAGTCAATTAAAGCTCTTAAGAGTCTGTAGTTGAACTCATGAGTCCAATTGAGCTCTTAGTCATCTAACATAGCTTCAAGGACTCCTGAAAAGCTAGTCAAAACTTACTATAGCAACTTACCGGTACAAGCAGAGTCAGGAACCTGTCTATCAACACAATAAGTCTTTACTAAGCCATAATAAGGCAATTGTTCATAAGACAGCTGAACTTCTTCTCCACCAAGATACTTTCTAGTTGCTGCTGTTGTTGTGAGTGTCAATCCATCACCCAAGAACATAATGATGTTTTTAGCTTTTCCATTATTTCTCTTTTTGTTGATTTGTGAATTTATATAATCTTGTCCATGCTTCATCCAAAATTCCGTATATCCATCGAGATTTATTCCTTGTGGATCAGATCCAGGCCTCCATTGTCCTTCAATATCTTCTGCTGTCTTCCTTGGATGGTATCGATCACCACTAATTACAGAAGAAATAAGCACAAAGGAACAAAAAAGCACGAGAATTTTTTCCATCTTTCTTAGTTAAAGTTTGTTGAGCAACTGAACCTACAAAAAGTTGTTTTCAGTTCTTATTTTTAATGTTCTTGAATCAAAGATCAAAGTAGGCTTAATTTTCAATTATTTTAATCATATTAGAGGGCATTGTAGCGTACGAGTGAGCTATTGATAGGCATTAATCGCGTGCGACAAGGAAATTTTCGAGATAAAGTTCGCAGTTTTTGAGAAAGATTGATTGTTGAAGGAATTAATTGATAAAGTTAAAATTAGTGTTTATTTTTGGGAAGAAAATAAGCGTGGAATGTTATTTTTATCAGGGTTTGTGGGTGTTTCAGGTAGCTTAAACTATAATTTGCAAGTTTTCGTGATTCACAATTAGTTTTTATTATTTAGGTTCCTTAACACCATAGTTTTGATGGACCAGGTGCCTTCACACTAGGTTTATATGATTCAAGTGCCTTCAAACCAGGTTTTTGTGGTTCGAAGCCTTTACACCAGATTTTTGTGATTCAGGTGTCTTTACACTAGGTTTACACGATTCAAGTGCCTTCAAACCAGGTTTTTGTGGTTCAGGTGCCTCTACACTAGGTTTTTTTGCGATTCAGGTGCCTTTACACTAGCTTTATATGATTCAAGTGCCTCCACTTCAGGTTTTTGTGATTCAGGTGCCTTTACACTAGGTTTTTGTGAATCAGGTGTCTTTACATTAGGTTTTTGTGGTTCAGGTGCCTCCACACTAGGTTTTTTGTGATTCAGGTGCCTTTTAACTAGGTTTACATGATTCAAGTGCCTTCAAACCAGGTTTTTGTGGTTCAGGTGCCTCTACACTAGGTTTTTTGTGATTCAGGTGCCTTTACACTAGCTTTATATGTTTCAAGTGCCTCCACTTCAGGTTTTTGTGATTCAGGTGCCTTTACACTAGGTTTTTGTGAATCAGGTTCCTTTACATTAGGTTTTTGTGATTCAAGTGCCTTTACACTAGGTTTTTGTGGTTCAGGTGCCTTTACACTTGGTTTACATGATTCAAGTGCCTTCAAACAAGGTTTTTGTGGTTCAGATGCCTTCAAACTAGGTTTTTTGTGATTCAGGCGCCTTTACGCTAGGTTTATATGATTCAAATGCCTTCAAACCAGGTTTTTGTGGCTCAGATGCCTTTACACTAGGTTTTTGAGGTTCAGGTGCCTCTTCACTAGGTTTTTTGTGATTCAGGTGCCTTTACACTAGGTTTTTTGTGAATCAGGTGCCTTTACATTAGGATTTTGTGGTTCAGGTGCCATCACACTAGTTTCCTTAATCATTAAAATGCTGAAAATTGATTAAAAAAATCAACAAAACGCACAATTTTTCTATTGTAATTAAATGAAAAAAGTTTTGACTTTTGCCTTTATTTGAAATGCATTTTGTCGATAAATACAACTTAAAAAACATAAAATATTGTTTAAAAATGTCTTGAAAAATTGTTAATACATAAGTTTTCTGTGTCACTTGATTAATTATAAATATTATTTTAATATTTCATAAATTGTAGTAATATTTCATGTGGATAAATTGTGATTTTAATTTTTTTTTTATCTCAAAAAACGGTTACATAGTTTCCATTAAATTTCTTCAGCTTGACTTTTTTTTTCTTTATTTTCTGATAAGACTTATGAACTGCTAAACATTTTTTTCCGGTAATTTTTTCTTTGTGAATGAAAATTTGATTTTTTAATTATTTTTTTTTGCCTGTATACTTTTAGTTTTGTGAATAAGTTTTTTAGTATTTTTTTAAGTTTCTTAACTACTAAATGCAAAATGACACGAATGAATATTTTTGTTTTGAATAAAAATTTTTATTTTCTTGGGTTTTGTGAAAATTTCTGTGAAACTTTTTGATTTTTTTCTGTCAGATTTTCAAGTTTGAAATGTTTTTGAAAATTTGTCAAACTGCAACATTTCAAATCAATTTGAAAAAAATTTCAATAAATTTGAAAAATTCAATTTTCTTTTTGAAAATATCAATTTTCTTTTTGAAAATATCAAAAAAAAGTTTAAAAACTTTCAGAAAAATTGAAAAATTTTAAAAAAATTGTTAAAAATATCAATTTGCAAATTTTCAAAAATTATTCAAATTCTTTAAGTTATTTTGATATTTTCAATAAAAAAAACCAAACAAAATTTCAATAAAAGCAAAAAATATCAAATCAATTTTTTTAAAACTTATGTAAATTTAAATTCTAAATTGTAGTTAAAAATATTTGGTTAATAAAATTGTTTATATTTTTAATAAACACACTTGATTATTAAAATCTTGTTTCTTGTTCGATTAATTAACTTAAAAACTACCATCACTTATAAATTTGACAATGAATATTATCATAATTAATTAATAATCATAAAAAATTGATATTTTTAATTTTTTGTAGGTTAAAAAATTAATAAATATGACACATAAATTTCAATTTTGATACAGATTATTTGAATTGATTATTTTTGGTTAATAAAATGTTAAAAAAATTAGAAAAATTGTAAAATAAATGTTAAAACCAACTGTTTTGGTTAGAACTGGATATAATTACTGGTATTAGGATTGGAGTAGCTATTGTTGGAACAGCTAAGTTTCTGGTAGCTAGGTTTCTGGGAGCTAGGGTTAATGAAGTAAAAGTACATTCAGAGGCAAGTCTGTGGATTAATTCCTACTTAACCTTCATAAACAGTTTCAGTTTTTTTTTTGAGAACGGGAGACGTAATTGATGCTCAGCAGTCCCAAGAGTGAACCATAGACAAGACCGAGCAACCACATTACCCCGCCCCACTCCCATTAAGTTTAAAAATATTGAAAATGTAAAATAAAATTGAAGGTTAAATAATAAAAAAATTATTAAATTAGATAAAAGTAAAACTATGGCTGGTGTCTAATGTTAGCTTTAAGTTCCACCTTAGCCATATAATCTATTATAATTGACTAAGGTCAACCAATGATGTGACTAAAGTGTACCTTAAGCTAAACACAAAGAAGCCAGCCCCTGACTATTGATATTTTGAGTAGCTTTTGTTCTTAATTCTGACTTTAAGGTTCATTTTCCAAGATATAACCTCAAAATTTGATTACCAAGCTGTAAAAATCTATTTTTTGCTCTTTTTTGGGATTTCCAAATTTTTCTTAAATTTTTGGTAATTTTAAACATTTTTTTTTCACAGAAATTTTTCAATTTTCTTGTTTTTCGTTCACACACAGACATGAAAAAAAATTCATTCTTCATAATAAAAAAATTTCTACATTCAGTTTTTATTTTCATCAGCTAAGAACTTTTTTAAACTTTAATTTTAAATGCCATTTAATATTCTTTATTAATTATAATAGTAATAATATGTATGTGTGATTATTAGTTTCCATTTCTTTACCGTAACTGACTATTTTTTTGCTTGACTGACTTTTTTTCCATTCTATTTTGATTATCATTTTTAGTTGAGTAAGTTTTTATTTTTTATTGACTTATAACTTTAGTGTAAATTTACTGAGTTTTAATTTTTTCACGTCCATTTTCATTTTTTTATACTTTTTTTTAATTCATTCATTAATTATGATTTTATGTGATTTGACTTGTGTATGATTTTTTTTTCAATTGGTTTGTTAAGTTAAAATAGGTTTAAAAAAAAGCTACGCATAAAAGTAAAATACGTAAAAATTGAAAAGATTAAAAAAATTTGAAAAACTCAAAAAAGAATTGAAAAATTTCAAAAATTTGAGTAAGTTCAAAACTTTGAAAAAGTTTACACAACTTCAAATATTTTTAAAAAATTCAAGAAATTTCAAGAAATCCAAAAAAGTTGAAAAAACTCAAGAAAGTTGAAAAAAAAATAAAAATTTGAAAAATTCAAAAAAAAAAATTGAAAAAGTTTGAAAAATTCAATAGATTTGAAATTTCAAAAATGTGAAAATAAATGATATGTAGTAAACTAAAAAATTATAAATTAAATGTAAACGTAAGTAGAAAAGTTAAAAAAACAAAATTAAAATGTTTAAAAATAAATCCTTAAAATTAAATTTGATCACAATTTTAATGTTATGGGTTAAATATTCATTAGGAAGTCAAAATGATTTATTTTCTGGTGTAAATTGTGGGAAGACAAAGCAAATTTAAGGAAAACTCTCAGTGAAATTAAAGAAAGTTAAATCAATTTTCAAAAGAAAAATATTTTCCAATTTGTCCTGCAAGATCATAAATTGTCTTCAATTTTCATCATTTTATAGAGCAAAAATTGTAAGTTTAAGCAAATAAATCGCAAATTAAAATAAAACTTTTCTCAATAAATTTAAAAATAAAATAAATCACCAACCATACACAAGTTCACAAAACTTTTCCCATTTTTCATCTTTCGTTCGTTAGTCTTTTTGCATAATTCTACAATTTTTTATATATGGCATTCCTTAACTAATTAATTAGTTCAATTTCATTTTTCTTTAATTTCTACTTAACTTATTATCAGCAAAATTAAAATGTCAAAGAAGCTCGAAGTAAAAAAGTTAATTTTTTGGGTTGTATAAAAAATTTGGTTGGGATGAGTTTTGAGAAAAATTTGAGATTTTTGGAGGGTAACCTCAAAATTAGGGAAGTTATCCTAAAATTCAAAAATAGATACTCCAAATTCGAGCTTTTAACCTCAAAATTTCAGCTCATAAACTCAAAATTCGAGCTCTTAACCTCAGAATTTAAACATCATAACCTCAAAAAAGTGAGCATAACCCCAAAAACCCCAAAATAAATCTTCCATCCCAACTGAGCAGCTTCTAAAATGTGTTAAAGCATCGACTAGTTATAAATATGTTTACTTTAAAAATCAAGCTTCAAAAATATTTTAAAAAATGTCAATTTTTTGACTAAATTGATTCATTTTGTGATGTAAGTTCACTTCTTAGTCATCAATTTCTATCAAAAAATTGAAAATTTCCAACTTAAAAAATCATTTGATCATTTTTTGATCAAAAGTCGCAAAAATCAATAACAAAAGACTTTAAAAATTAAAAAATTCGTCTTAAATACTCGCAATAATTTTTTCGTATCTTAATTCCTAGCAGATTCCATTTTCATATCATTTTCTTCAGTTTTCATAAGTCTTAATATCTAAAAAGTTACAATTTTATAATTTATTTTTTTTCCTTCATTTTTTTGACATTCACTTAAATGCAATTTTCTGACTCATTTTTCCTCTTGTTCAATTTTTTTTTCTCTCAAATTACAAAAATGTTATTGGTAAATTTTGAAGTGACACGTGTTGACACATTTAGCTGAATTTTAAATATTTTTTTAAATTTTGAAGGTTTAAAAATGGAAGAATAAAAAGCGTCGGATTGAATTTTCTTTCTGTGGAATTTTGTGAAAATCAATCTGAAAGTTCAAAATTTACCTTAAAATTTCAGAAGATAACCTCAAAATTTCAGAAGATAACCTCGAAATTTCAGAAGATAACCTCAAAATTTCAGAAGACAACCCCAAAATTTCAGAAGATAACCTCAAAATTTCTGAAGATAACCTCAAATTTTTAGAAGATAACCTTAAAATTTCAGAAGATAACCTCAAAATTTCGGAAGATAACCTTAAAATTTCAAGAGATAACCTCAAAATTTCAGAAGATAACCTCAAAATTTCAGAAGATAACCCCAAAATTTCAGAAGATAACCTCAAAATTTCTGAAGATAACCTCAAATTTTTAGAAGATAACCTTAAAATTTCAGAAGATAACCTCAAAATTTCGGAAGATAACCTTAAAATTTCAGGAGATAACCTCAAAATTTCAGAAGATAACCTCAAAATTTCAGAAGACAACCCCAAAATTTCAGAAGATAACCTCAAAATTTCTGAAGATAACCTCAAATTTTTAGAAGATAACCTTAAAATTTCAGAAGATAACCTCAAAATTTCGGAAGATAACCTTAAAATTTCAAGAGATAACCTCAAAATTTCAGAAGATAACTTCAAAATTTCAGAAGACAACCCCAAAATTTCTGAAGATAACCTCAAATTTTTAGAAGATAACCTTAAAATTTCAAGAGATAACCTCAAAATTTCTGAAGATAACCTCAAATTTTTAGAAGATAACCTTAAAATTTCAGAAGATAACCTCAAAATTTCAAAAGATAACCTCAAAATTTCAGATGATAATCTCAAAATTGAATAGCATAACCTAATTTTTGTTTAAAATTTCGTATTAAAATAAATTTTGCGCTTAAGTTTGTCAAATTTCATCCAATTGTAGCCAACAAATTCTCATTCTTCATATTTAACCTAGTTTCCGATCTGATTGATAAGACATGTTAGCATGTGAATATAGATAAATTTGTGTATTTTAAATAGTTAATAATATTTTAGTTTTAGTCAAAATTAGTGTCTATTTTCAATCATTAGATAACGTTTTAATTGCAACTTTATGTTTTTAGTAGTTTTGCATTTTGTTTAATGTTTTTTTTCGTCTTATTAATTATGAATATTATTGTTGAGTATGAAAAACTAAGGAATTTTGCAAAGCTGCAATGCAATTTAAAATACGTTTTGAGCTGGATTTGTGTTTTGGAAATTTTTGACGAAATTTTGGTTAGATTTTTGAGGTTAGAGGGAACTTCGGATTAAGATAATTTCAAAATTTGGAATGATAATCCAAGATTTGAAAAGATATCCTTAAAAATTCTAAAAGCTAACCTCGAAAGTAAAAAGCTAACCTCAAAATTTTTGAAGATAACCTCAAAATTCTAAGTGCTAACCTCGAAAAGTTTTAAAACTTACTCTCAAGATAATCAACCTAACCTCAAAAAAAAAATCCAACATTATTCTCTAAAATTGACCAAAACAACAGCAACCATGAAAAATTAGCAGTTTTTGCAGACATTATTGAATCTACTAGGAAAGCTTATGTGATTAGTCATTGTATTAAATTACAAAGGATTATCTATAGATGTATGAATTTGTTAATTTTAAATATAAAAAGAGTAGAATGTACTGTATGTATGTCGGTGTATAATAATCATTCATAATATCATTAGAGAATTACTGCAGATGCATTTCTAGTCTTACTCCGTCAACCTTTCACTTCAAAATTTCTATTCCTTTCGCACTAGACTGGGTGCAATGTGAATCCGTATATTGTTTATGTATATTTATAGGTTATGTAATTGTGATTATCATATGGAAAATTTTCAAAACTTTACATTTACTTTTAACGTTTTTTTTTCTCACTTATATAAAAAAGAAGCTGAAGAGGAAAAATTTTTAATTTTTTTTTTTATTTTTGGCTGAAAAAATTCTACTGAGCTTTATGCTGACTCATTTACAAGTTGCATTGCCAGAGGATTTGAGGCTCCTGACCGGGTGGTGGTGGTGGTTGATTTGGATTTTGCTGGAGCTGTTGTTGAGTCATTTGAGGTGGAAGTGGCATTTTTTGATTTGGTCCTGGTGAGACGGGGACTGACTTGGTTTCTGTTTGAGATAGAAAAATAGTATTGGAATGGTTATTGAGGATTCAGTTAGTGCTACAATAGCAAAAGCCGGTAGCTCGGTGTACAATAGGGTTTGTCTCGCACGAGGGGGTATCAGTAACACCAAAAATTGAGTATAGCATATGCCGTAGGGTCTACTAAGTTAGACTAGGATCTACCAGGTTGCCTAAGGAAAACCGAGCAACCAGCATAAAGGTGACGAGTCCCTTACATTTACTTTTAGGTTAATATCATACTTACCACCATAATTACCACGTGGACCATTATCACGGTCGCATTCAGCCTCAGAAATTTCATTGCTCTCTTTGGAATCATTAAATGATGAATTACTAGTCTCATGGTTTCTTGGTGGTGGTCTGAAATGATAAGTTTTGAGGTTAGAACTGTTTAATTAATCCACAAATATTAATCTACTCACGGAGGTGGTGGTTCAGGTGATGAATTCTTAATTGATCCCTGACTTCTACGTCCAATAGATCCACGTGAATCATATGGATCGTAGGGATTTCCATAAGGTCCACCGTATTGTGATCCGTATTGATCTTCTTCTGGCGCACAATTTGCTGGATCATCATATTCTGGTCCACAGTAGCTTACAGAGTTATTATAAGGATTGCATCGACGATATTGATCTTCTTCTGGTGCGTAGTTTGCTGGATCGTCATATTCGGGTGCTGGTGAGTAGATTGAGCTCTGTCCACCTTGTGAGTTCTTGCGGGCGTAACGATTGGCTCGTGGCTGAAAGTTTTAAGATTATTGTCACAAAATTGTTAAAAAAAGTACTAAAGTTTTAGTACAAGTACTAAAGTTTTAGTACAAGTACTAAAGTTTTAAGTGCAAGTACTGATGTTTTTAGTACAAATCCCAAAAGTTTTTTAAGATTAAACAAAAACATTTCTTTAGTACAAGTACTTAAGTTTTTTTAGTACAAGTACTAAAGTTTTTTAGTACAAGGACTAAAATCGTTTTAGTACAAGTTCCAAAGGTTTTTAAGATTAAACACAGAATTTTTTTTAGTACAAGTACTTAATTTTTTAGTACAAGTACTTAAGTTTTTAGTACAAGTACTAAAATCTTTTTAGTACAAGTTCCAAAGGTTTTTTAAGGATAAGCACAGAAGCTTTTTTAGCACAAGTACTAAAATTGGTAATTCCAATTCTACTCACCATAGACTGACTACCAGCGCGCGAATGCATATGACCAGGCATTGGGATCGGTCCATTAGGTCCCATTGTACCAATGTGTTGTCCGTTTTGGTGTGGGAATGTCTGGAAGTTGAGTGCCTTTGTTGGGTCCATTTCTTCACGGAATCCGAGCAAATGGAATGTTGCGTATGGGCAGATCTCATCGTCGACACCTGATTTGAAAGAGGAATTTTGGAGGGAAAAGTTTGAGGTTATGTTTGTGATTTGATTTCTTAGTAAGGTTACTTTAAGGTTAAATTGGTGATTTGTAATATAATTCATGCAACTGTTAGTGAACACACGAAAATCACTTACCTGTTGTTATTGGAAATTAGTAAGGTTTAGGAAAGAGCTTATATAAAATTTGCATAGGAAAGTTACCTTGCTAGTATTTTAATCTTGTAGTAGCACATAGCAGAAGTTAATGTAAAAAGCACAATTTATAAAAGATTTAATTTACATTAGCTTAGAAATCATAAAATTGGCTAATTTTGAACTTATAAGTAAATTTTGTTAATTTATTAAACTCAAAAAAATGTTAAAGAAATACAAAAATTTTGCTTCTTCCACCACAAATCCAAATCTCGTTAGTGTAAATCAACTCAAAATAATGAATGTGTTCATGACGGACTGAATAGTAGTAAGCTAGCTATAAATTCAAGTCCAGCCTATCAAAATTCACTCAACAGTGCATCATGAACATAAAAAAAAAACCAATTCAAAATCTTAATTTTTTCACTTTCGCCAATGTTTTTAGTACAAAAAAAACAAAAATCATAAAAAAATCATATCTAACCTTTATGAGAATGACCATGTGCAAAATATTCTGCAGGACGTAAAGTTCTGGATGGTGGAAGTGGAGGAGGTGATCCATTTTCTTTAAGTTCTTCATAAATTGGACGTCGTGAGTCCCATGTGCAAAAGTTATTGGTTCCATTTCGACCTTCTGATTTTTTTTTTTCAAGTTTTGTAACAAAAATATTCAAAAATTTAATAAATAAAATATTGAAAAAAAAAATTATAAAATTGAGGTGGAAAAAAAGGCATGCACATGAAAGTTTTGACAAAGCTGAATGTTGGAATTGAGAATTGGTGCTTCAAAAAGATGGGATTTTTAAGAAATTGTATGAAAATTTGGATTCTTAAAGGAACTAGAAATAAAGGATGAATTCAAATGCAAAGTTAAGAACTTAGAGCTTCAGTAAATGCTTTAAGTAAACAGGCAAAACATCTAGAGGATATAAAATAGTAACTAGACATCTAGAAGTTTAGAAATCTTAATGTTAATAAATTGATAAAATAATGAGAATTTACTTAGCACTGTTGCACGTTTCATTCTGTCGCATCTGAAAGAAAAATTAATAAAAATTGTTAATATTACTTGATAAGCTTAGGTTTCTAGTTATTAATCCCTAAAAATCTAAAGCAGTGGTGGGCAACCTTTTTAGCGCATTTTTGAAAACTTGTTTTCGAAAAGGAAGCTTAATAATGCACTTTGTTCGTTCGTTCGTTCGTTCGTCTGAAGAAAAACTTTTTAACCAGACATCGTAGAGAGCTCAGGTTTGTTTTATTAGCTCCGTTACTATTGTTTATTGTCCGATCAAACAGTTAAAAGTCTTGAAACAGTGTATTTATGCTATAATTAATGAATTTTTGTTTTGTTTTCAGTGTAACCTGCTCAAATTTTATTATACCTCTATAATTTCAAATTTTTTCTAACCGTTGTAAAATTTGAATTTCAAAAAACCGTTAAATGATAAACTTTTTTTGTATGGAAATTCATGAGCTTTGATAAATTTTTTCAAGTCACACTAGTGTGCTGTGTTACATAGGTTAGCCACCACTGTCCTAATATAAACGCAAGAGACTAGCTTTTATTTAATTTATGACTTAATTTTCAGGACACTTCATCTTAACCCAAACCAAGCTGCTAGGCAAGTCAGCAACTTGCATTTCCACTGCTCCTGAGCTTTATACCTTGACTCAGTGTCCTGACTTCTCCCTAAAATGTGCAAATTCCCTTTATAACCTTGAAAAGAATTTAATACTCACGTATTATATGATGTTCCTGGAACTGGAGGAAGTTTACGATTTGGTGGAGCAATATATCCAAGTTCATCACGAATATCACGTCTTTTGTCTAATGTAGCTCCGCCACCTGGTCCAAGTGCTTGGTTGTAGACTACATCGTCTATGTAACAATAGAAAAATTCATTAAAATTGAGAATTTGCCCAAAAAAATAGGAATTTTGGTATCAAGACTCAAGGGCTGGTTTTTTCGAGTATAGCCTAGGCTAAATGGGTCAAAACCCACACTTTTTAGAAGAAATTCTTCAATTTAAGAAATCTCAAAAGTCCCTCTCAAAAAATTTCTGACCTTAGCCAGACTAAAAGACTCAAGCAACCAGCACCAAGCACTCAACTTGAAATTGTAAGAACATATCAAATGAGTGCCTGAGCCTTGTTTGGATATGTATAGAATAATATCGAGTATAAATTTGAAGTTGGATTCATTAAAGCTGCTGGATTATGTATTTGATGACCAATATCAGGTTCTGCAGGATACAGCAGTAAAACAGGAGCTTAAGGTTTCATAGCAACGATTAAGTGTGGTTTATATCTCATTTTACGATGGCAAGTAAGGCACTTTGATACATTTTAAGGTATAGATTGATTCTTAAGGCAGATGTGAGGGATTTTGACTAATATTAAGCTGGAATATCCAAGATCTTTTCTGAATATACCTAAAAATCAGGAATTTTAGGTTCAAACTCATAAAAAGTTCACAATTTTAAAGGAAACTAGCTAAAATTAAGGATGTGGAACTGATCAACTGACTTTTGGTCGTATTTTTAACAGCATCCAATTCTTAAATACAAATAGTAAGGACCAAGTAGCATCTAGCAATCGCCAATAACAATAAAATGGTAGCCAACTCAATCCCGCAACCCAAAAAACATACAATAAACATCCTTCGAGTTCCTCGACGAATCCGGACGTCTTCGATTATAAGCAACACAAATGACTAAAATGCCGACAGCAAGTACAATGACTGTGGCCATAAAAGGCACCATAACGTTCAAATCAAACCAGCTCGGGATCCATGGAAGTCGTGCATAAATGTCATTTTGATTATAATTTGGCGCAATTGTGACTGAAAAAGAAGGAAGAAAAAAAAGGAACATAAAAATTCAGCTCATGCTGATTACTGACCTTTAGAGTGATGACCCTTGCTACGTAAAATACAAATCACAATTATGGCAATGATAATGACAAGAATAGCTGCAACAACTGGCACAACGAGATTCAAATTAGCCACGATGAGACGAACTGCATCCTCGGCAGTAAGTTGTGGAATTCCGTTTGACGGTGCAATTGTCCCTGAAACAACCGTGAATTTTTTTTGATGTTTTTGTGGATATTTTTTTTTAAGGATTTTTGTCAAAGATAGAGAGAGATAGAGATATAGAAAAAATGAGATTTTTTTTGTCTTTTGAATTGGGAAACGAAAAAAACAATTTGAAAATGCAACAAAAAATATTTTTTTTTGTTTCTATTAAAAAATGTTTGGAACAACAAAACAGAATTGATATTTAATTTAAGAAAAAAAAAAATATTGAGATAACTGATACCCTCGGTTTTGGAAGAGGATTCAACAAGATTAGATTGACATTGATTAATTTACATAGTTATTTTACAAATTAACAATTGAAAGTTTGATGTGTTTGCACTTTTGGAATGGACGGTTGATGATTTAGGTATAGAATAGTAAAGTACTATGTCCCACCTAGGTCCTTTGTCCCCCTCAACCCCTTTTAAACTGTTTATAGGAAACCTTTTAGGTTAGTTGGTTCAAAGATGCTTTAACAAAAAAAGGAAAAGGAGATATTCTAAGTTGTGTGGACCTTAGGACGTAGTTGAACCAACCCCCCCCCCCCCCCCGCTTTTTGAAAAATATATTCAATTTGCCAGGATTTTTTTGAGAATAAATCCAAAATAAACCCTGAAATTTATCTGTTCATACAAAAAAATTTCAACTCCCCCCCCCCCCCCTTCCCCTGCCCTTACAAAAACAATTTCTGGTAATACCACTGCCTAGGGTTACCAGGGAGAAAGATGAGGAATTTGAGGTTGTGGAGACACGCCTTTTTTTAAAGGTACAAGGAGTAAAGTCAGGAATTTGAAGAGGGGGGAGAAGTTTTTTTTATTGAAAATTTATGGTGTGGGGGGATTTTTTCCATATTGAAAATTTAGGGGGGAGGGGAGTTTAAAGTTTTTTTCTTTTTCATAAAACCCCTTAACAATTTGAAGAAAGTTCTATTAATGGGGGAAGTTTTCACCTAAATCTCCCCCTCCCCCTTCTGGATACACGCCTCAAGGGTCCTGAAAAAATGACTATTTAGTCTCAGATTTTATAAAGTATTAGATTCCCATTCCAAGATGTGCAAAATAATCTACATTAATATTCGGAACTACCCCTTCACTCCCCCCCCCCCCCCCCCCCCTTGTAGTATTTCCCACTCAAACCTTCTCAATCTTCCCATTTTGCATCAAATATGAAATTAAACTCAATCGCATGCTTGATGTGAAAACCAAAAATATTAACGAAAATTCAGAACGTGTCTAACAATGAAAAATGGATGGTCATCTTCCTCAAATCAAAGATGTCATTAATGTGTATTATGGATTATCAAAAAATATATATATATGCAAAGTAGGATAGAATCAAATAAACTTAACCAAATTATTGTTTTTTTAAAGGCATAAACATTCAAAGAACTCAATGGAATTATTTAACAAAAATTATTAGTTTTATGGTTGTTTCAGAGACAGCTTAAGTCAAGACGGAAGCACGATGGTTGTGAGATTCGCGAGATTCAATTGGTGCAGCTTCATTCCTTATCATTCGCATTTGCTTCTAGTTTTAAAATTTATTTTCGAAATTCGAACTTTTTTTCGATCATCGAATTTTTTTTTCGAAATTCGAATTTTATTTTCGAAAGTCGAATTTTTTTAAAAACTAAAATTTTGTGATTTGAATTTTTTTGTGTAAAAAATTATAAAAATAAATAAAAAGTGTGTTTGGTGAAAATTTTATGTTTTTTAATGTTAAGCAGGGGTTAGGAGGTATGAAGCAGGGGTGACCCTTGCTACACCTGAACCAACCCCTGCTATATAGTGACTAGCAGCACATGGCACACAAAATAAATCATAAATATGTGATACATAAATAAATAATGTCTGTGTGGATATTTTACTTCAAATTCTCTGTGTATTTACACAATTTTTTTCACTTCACCAAGGGTATCAACTCTCAAATTCTTTTTTTCAATAAATTTTCTAGCGAAATTATAATAAAATTGTAAAATTTGTTCATCAATTAAAATATAAATTATAATTTAATTAAGAAGCGGAAAGAAAAAAGTTCTACAAAAAAATTGTTTCTCACTCTCATGCACGTCAAAAAACCTTCAACTTACCTCCGTTGACAGTCAATGTTGCAAATTCATATTCAGCTACTGTAAAACCGGCATTGTTGTGTGCTGTGACTCTAAGCATGTACCATGATGCAGGCTCTAAGTCGAGGACAACAAAGTTTCCACCTGGCTTGACATTGTTTGAGATTTGGTTCCATTCGGTTTGATCCCTGTTGGGTAAAATTGGTCAAATTTAATGATTTATTATTCAAAAACCCCTTGACTAGCTACGCCAGACTTAAAAACCTCTCGACTAGCTACGTCAGACTTAAAAAAACCCCTCGACTAGCTACGTCAGACTAAAAAACCCCTCGACTAGCTACGTCAGACTCAAAAACCCCTCGACCTGCTAAGTCAGATTCAAAAACCCCTCGACTAGCTACGTCAGACTCAAAAACCCCTCGACAAGCTACGTTAAACTTAAAAAAACCTTTGACTAGCTACGTCAGACTAAAAAACCCCTCGTCTAGCTACGTTAAACTTAAAAAAACCTTTGACTAGCTACGTCAGACTAAAAAACCCCTCGTCTAGCTACGTTAAACTTAAAAAAACCTTTGACTAGCTACGCCAGACTCAAAAACCCCTCGACTAGCTACGTCAGACTCAAAAACCCCTCGACTAGCTACGTTAAACTTAAAAAAACCTTTGACTAGCTACGCCAGACTCAAAAACCCCTCGACTAGCTACGTCAGACTCAAAAACCCCTCGACTAGCTACGTTAAACTTAAAAAAACCTTTGACTAGCTACGCCAGACTCAAAAACCCCTCGACTAGCTACGTCAGACTCAAAAACCCCTCAACTAGCTACGTCAGACTCAAAAACCTCTCGACTAGCTACGTCAGACTCAAAAAACCCTCGACTAGCTACGTCAGACTCAAAACCCCTCAACTAGCTACGTCAGACTAAAAAACCCCTCGACTAGCTACGTCAGACTCAAAAACCCCTCGACCTGCTAAGTCAGATTCAAAAACCCCTCGACTAGCTACGTCAGACTCAAAAACCCCTCGACAAGCTACGTTAAACTTAAAAAAACCTTTGACTAGCTACGTCAGACTAAAAAACCCCTCGTCTAGCTACGTTAAACTTAAAAAAACCTTTGACTAGCTACGCCAGACTCAAAAACCCCTCGACTAGCTACGTCAGACTCAAAAACCCCTCAACTAGCTACGTCAGACTCAAAAACCTCTCGGCTAGCTACGTCAGACTCAAAAGTCTCTCGACTAGCTATATCAGACTTCAAAAACCCTTCGACTAGCTACCCCAGGCTCAAAAACCCCTTGACTAGCTACGCCAGACTCAAAAACCCATCGACTAGCTACGTTAGACTTAAAAAAAACCCTCGACTAGCTACGCCAAACTCAAACTTACTTCTTTCGGTGTTCGACAACAAAGTGTGACATTCTGCATCCACCGTCCTTCCATGCTGGCAAGATTAATGTAACTGAGCTTGATGAAACTTCAATGAATCTTGATTTTTCTGGCAAAATTGGTTTTGATCCTTTAGTTCTCAAATTCAAGATATCAGACTGTTCACCAGCACCAATGGAGTTGTAAGCTGTTGCATAGACTTGATAACGTGATCCACAATACAAATTTTCGATAGAGTATTTCTGAGCTTCCGTTGAGACATCAGCAGTTTCCCATTCGCCAAATTCTGGTTTGTAGTGAAGTGTAAAGCCGTGCATTGGTGCGTTGTCAGTTTCTTGTTTCTTCAGCTTGACTGTGATTGAATCGGTTGTGGTTGCGCCGACAATTACTTGTGGTGCTTGTGGTGGAGCTAAAGGAGAGGATTGACATTAGTAGAGTCCAAAATGTAGGAATTGTTGCTATAAACTTACCCAAAATTACTAACTTGTGTGTGATCGAGTCCTTAGCAATTGAGTTTTCAGCTGTGCATGTATATTCTCCAGCATCTTGTCTTATAACTTCCTTAATGTACAAGCTTCCCTCTGGCAATTGTCTGATTCTGTCACTAGCCTGGAACTCACCGCCCTTAATCTTCCATGTAATATCAGGTGTTGGTGCGCCGACAGCCAAACATGGTAGCTTAATGTCTTCCTTAAAAGTAGCCGTAAATGTGTCATCGAATGATGCTATCTTAGCTGGAACTTTGTCATTTGGTGTTGATGAGATTCTTTCCGATACTTGACCTTCTCCGATTTGTGTAATTGCTGAAACCCAGAATTCGTATTGCTGGTCAACTGTAAGTCCGGCTGCTTCATAGCTCATTTGATTTGCTGGGATTTCAAATTCTTTGTTTTCCTTTTCAGCGCTGTTCTTGACATAGACTTTGTATTTTGTGATGATTCCATTTGGGAATGCTGGTGGACGCCATGAAACGAGGATTGCATCGCTGGACATGATGAGAGCTTTGACTGCTGTTGGGGCTTCGGGTGTGTCTTGGTCGGTTTGACAGTGGATTGCAATGCTAGATTTAGGATGTGATGAAGATTGATTATTGATTATGAATAAGGTTGCGAACTCCTGGATTCTTAAGGATTAAGTTGGGAATCACTCAAAATGGATCTACTGAGAACGAGGTTGGGAAATTCTGAAATTGATCTCCTTAAAATTAGATTGAGAAACTCTGGAATGGATCTACTGGAAACGAGGTTGGGAACCTCTGAAATTTATCTCCTAAAGATTAGATTGAGAAACTCTGGAATGGATCTACTGAGAACGAGGTTGGGAACCTCTGAAATTTATCTCCTAAAGATTAGATTGAGAAACTCTGGAATGGATCTACTGAGAACGAGGTTGGGAACCTCTGAAATTTATCTCCTAAAGATTAGATTGAGAAACTCTAGAATGGATCTACTGAGAACGAGGTTGGGAACCTCTGGAATTTATCTCCTAAAGATTAAATTGAGAAACTCTGGAATGGATCTACTGAGAACGAGGTTGGGAAACTCTGGTATGAATCCATCGAGTAAAAGGTTGGGAAGCCCTGCCCCACCCAACTTACCTTCTTACACCATCACCTCCTGATGTCATAGCCAAAACCTGAATAGTATAATTTGTATATTTCTTCAATCCATGTAAAACAGTGTCTGAACTTGATGTCTTCTTGTAGTCCTTGCTCTTCTCATCATACCACATATCAGATGGAGCATATACAACTTTATATCCCTTAATAACACCATTAGCTGATTCAAGTGGTGGTGAAACCCATGAAACGCGAATTGTCTGTGATGTCAATGTAGTACATGCTGTGTCACTTGGTGGTTGGTCTGGTGTACCTTCTGCTGTGTATTGCTTCTCTTCATCGCTAATTGGACCAGCTCCGACTTTGTTAAATGCCTGAATAACAACTGAATATTGTGTGTATGTCTTTAAGTTTGTAATGTCCAAAGTGTGTTCCTTATTTTCTCCATTTTCAGCCATATAATTGACAGTCTCGTATATGTATGAAGTATTTGATGATGTGAGCTTATATCCAACATAATATCCCAAAATGTCTCCATTCCAGTCACCTCTTAGTGGTGGCTTCCAGTGAACTTTCAATGTTGTCTGACTGAATGGCTCAATTACAATGTTTTGTGGCTTGCCTGATGGTGCTTCCTCAGCTGTGATAATTGTGACAACATCTGATGATTCAGAAGTTCCAATGTCATTTTCAGCTACGATTCTGAAGTTGTAAGTTGTTGCTGGTGCGAGTTTCTGGACTTGTGCTTCTGTTGTGTCTCCAGGTACGATAACTCGATCAATGTCGCTGTCCCATGTGCCGCGTGACTTCTTAAATTCAATAATGTAGCGCTTTAATGGTGAATTTCCATCGTATGGCTTATTCCAGCTTAATTGGATTGTTCTGCCTGATTTGTCGAGAACCTTCATCCCGTATGGCATTTCTGGACTTTCTTGAATCATCATGTTGATGCTGGTGTCGTCACTTCCGAAAGCATTTGTAGCAACGCATGTAAAAAGTGCTGTGTCAGTTCTTTCAGTTCTCTTAATTGACAAACTTGACATAACTCCATTCGGTAAGATTTCTTCACGAATTGTGAATCTTGGGTCTGATTTTGAGTCCAATCGGATGTTGTTCATGTTCCATAAAATTCCAATTGGCTTCTCGCCTTTAGCTTCACATTGAAGAACGGCTGGTTCACCGCGACGTGCTGTTTGGTTACGAAGTTTATCTGAGAATTCTGGTGGTGCTTGGACATTGACGTAGATGACTGCTGAGAGACCTGATCCGATATTGTTTGTAGCTTCACAGAGGTAGTAACCTTCATTTGTCTTTTGGATGTTCTCGATGATCAAGTTGCCATTTTCTACACGAACTGATGAGTCATTTGTGCGAAGGTCTTTATAGTCGCCGGGTTTGTCACCTGAATTTTTTGTTTTTTTGAGGTTAGGAAAAAAAATTTTAAGGTTAGAATTTTTTTTGAGGTTCGAATTTTTTTGAGTTTAGATTTTTTATGAGGTTAGTTTTTTTATGAGGTTAAAAACTTAAATGAATTTTGAGGTTAGAAATTTTTGACTTATAGGTTAAAAACTATCAAAGTTGTATTTTGAGGTTAAAATTTATCGAAATTGGATTTTAAGGTTAAAACCTATCGAAATTGGATTTTAAGGTTAAAACCTATCAAAATTGGGGTTTGAGGTTAAAACCTATCAAAATTGGATTTTGAGGTTATAACCTATTAAAATTGTATTTTGTGGTTAAAAACTATCGAAATTGGATTTTGAGGTTAAAAACTATTAAAATTGGATTTTGAGGTTAAAAACTATCAAAATTGGGATTTGAGGTTAAAAACTATCGAAATTGGATTTTGAGGTTAAAAACTATCAAAATTGGAATTTGAGGTTAAAAACTATCAAAATTGAATTTTGAGGTTAAAAACTATCAAAATTGAATTTTGAGGTTAAAAACTATCGAAATTGGATTTTGAGGTTAAAAACTATTAAAATTGGATTTTGAGGTTAAAAACTATCAAAATTGGGATTTGAGGTTAAAAACTATCGAAATTGGATTTTGAGGTTAAAAACTATCAAAATTGGAATTTGAGGTTAAAAACTATCAAAATTGAATTTTGAGGTTAAAAACTATCAAAATTGAATTTTGAGGTTAAAAACGATCAAAATTGGATTTTGAGGTTAAAAACTATTAAAATTGGATTTTGAGGTTAAATATTGTCAAAATTGAATTTTGAGGTTAGAATCTCAATGTATTAACTTACCAACAGCCATTTTCCAGTGAATTGATGGAAGTGGTGATCCGTCAGCTTTACATTCAACTTTAGCATTTGATCCTTGTGCGAAAGCTTTGTCAGTTGGTTCAAGAATCCACCTTGGTGGAACTGTTGTTTTGATTTTGGTTAAGAGAAGAAATATATTAGATAAAATGTTTGGAAGCTTAAACTGACTCGAGGGGTGCAAGAATTAAAAAAGTCGGTCGTCGTGATTGTTGTTTTTGGAAAATGGGAAACGGCTCTATTAGGAGCTTAGATTAGATTGTTTGGGGAAGAGAAAAAAACCGACTTTTTGAATCTTTGGACATCTCGAGTATGAAAGCATGCAAAATTATAAATATTGATTAGTGGAAGGGGAAGTATTTTAGGAATGTGGATTCTACTACTTACAGTTTGTTAATAGCTACAAATAATAAACTATATATGAATAACTATAAAATTTCATGAATATCAACATCCAGGAGGATTATATCGATTTTCTAGGTTAAGTTTATTTTTATAAAATTTAAATCTACTCCTCAGCTTAATCACGGCCAATTACTGACCAAAATGGTCAATTATGGTCAAAAATGATCAAAAAATCAGTTGATCACTTTCACACTCTTGAGTAAGGTTCTCCAGAAAATTTATGAAACTTAATAGTTAACATCTTAAACATAATAATGTTTTACAAGCTACATACTATATAGAAAGGATTTATAAGGATTAAGGAGCGATGGGAATTAAGAGAAAGGGAAGGAATCTTTCAGAATTTTGCAATTTGTTTCCCCATTTCATTTTGTTTTCAAATTTTGAACTTAAAAGTCTGACCAAACAAAAATCTTGTTATAAAATAAAAATCTTAATGAATGAGTGCATCAATGAACTTCAAGTGGACTTCAATTTTGAAGCTTCTGAGCAGTTTGATAACAACTTTCGAAGAACAGATGATTAAGTTGATGTTTCCCAACAGTTGGAACCCCATCGCCCCTTTAACAAAGTTTCTTAAAGAATTCTTAGGAAAAATCAACATCCAGTGAGAAAATATTCACCATTAACAGACAAAAATGCGCTATGTTGAGCTACACCAGCTTTATTCTGAGCAAAACAAGAATAATTTCCTCTGTGTCTGGCTTTGACAGCCTCAATTGCTAACATGCTGATCTTCTGACTGTTTCTTGTGATCACAATTCCATCATTTGTTGTCAAGTTGTATGAATCACTCATTCCGTCTTCCTTCAATGTCCACCAAATTTTAATAGGTTGATCTCCTTTGGTTATCGTACAAGTTGCTGTTACAGCCTCATCAAAGTTGACTTCCTCTTCACCAAATGAAAATGGAATGATTTGTGGAAGAACTAAGGAACACGAATCATGTTTTAAGAGCCTTGATTAAGTAAAATCGCCAAAATAATGAACCAAAAAATTAAATTAAGTCAAAATCGAAACAAATTGCAAAAGTTCTGAGCAACAACGAGGGTCAAGACATAAACAGCATTAATTCGAACCATTGATTGACAAATATGAGTGCTGTTGAGTAACGCCAGCTCGATTTTGTGCAAAACAGGAATAATTTCCTCTATGCCGTGCCTTAACTGCTTCAATGTTAAGTACACTAAGCTTCTGTCCAGTTCTTGAAATCACAACTCCATCAGTTGTTGATAGATTCTGTGGATATTGATCATCTTCGCCTTTAAAAGTCCACCATAACTTCATTGGAGTATCTCCTTTGGTGACTGAGCATGTTGCAGTGACTGAGTCGTCAAAGTTAAAATCATCCTCACCGAACGAAAATGGATTGATCGATGGCAAAACTTAAAATTATAAAAAAATTGCCAAAACTTAGAAAAATTGCAAAATTCTGATTTTTTAGAGGCTACAAAAACATTTAAAACCAATTTTGGCTGAAATTCAAACCATTAATAGACAAATAAGAACTTTGTTGAGCAACACCAGCTCGATTCTGAGCATAACATGTGTAATTTCCGCGATGTCTTGCTTTGACTGCATCAATCGCAATCATGCTGATTTTTTGAGTAGTTCTGGTTATGAAAATTCCATCATTCGTAGTCAAGTTGGACGGAAATTGATCATCTTCTCCTTTAAATGTCCACCAAAGTTTTAATGGAACGTCTCCTTTGGTTATTGAACATGTTGTTGTGACTGAGTCATCAAAATTAAACTCATCGTCGCCAAATGAGAATGGATTGATTGATGGGAGAACTTTAAATGATAAAATGGAACTAAAATTAAGGAAATTTGCAAAATTCTGATTTTTGGGGATCAAAACTAAAATTAAGGATATATTATCAAGAACTCGAACCATTCATAGACAAGTAGGAATGTTGTTGTGAGACGCCAGCTCTATTTTGAGCATGACAAGTGTAGTTGCCTCTGTGTCTAGCTTTAACAGCTTCAATAGTTAAAATTGAAACTTTTTGTGTGTTCCTAGTGATCACAACACCGTCATTTGTAGTTAAATTATAAGCTAAATCATCATTGTCGCCCTTAAAGGTCCACCAAATCTTCAAAGGCATATCACCCTTCGTAACTGAACAGGACACCATAATCGAGTCATCAAGATTGAATTCTTCGTCACCGAATGTGAACGGAAAGATTTGTGGAAGGACTTAAAAATTGATAAAAATTAAATTAAAAATGAATTCCAAAAAATTGCAAAATTCTGTTTTTGTGGGAAAATTGAAGCAAAAATTATTATGAATAATTCGAACCGTTGACCAACAAGTAGGAGCTCTGTTGGGACACTCCAGCCTTATTTTGAGCAAAACATGTGTAATTTCCTTTATGTCTAGCTTTAACTGCCTCAATAGTCAACATAGACACTTTTTGTGTCGACCTAGTAATTATCACGCCATCATTTGTAGTTAAATTGTGTGGAAACTCTTCATCATCTCCCTTAAATGTCCACCATAACTTAAGTGGCAGATCTCCTTTAGTTACAGAACATGAACCCATAACAGAGTCATCAAAATTAAATTCATCTTCACCAAATGTAAATGGAACGATTTGTGGTAAAACTTTAAAGATGGAAACAAAAATAAAAATGTTGGTGAAACAAATTGCAAAATTTATGATTTTGAGGGGACCAAGAGGGGTACATAAAATTCTGAAGAAATATTTCGAACCATTAATGTGCAAATAAGAACTCAATTGAGCTACACCAGCCTTATTCTGAGCATAGCAAGTATAATTTCCTCTATGACGTGCCTTAACAGCTTCAATAGCAATTGAACTGATCTTTTGAGCAGTTCTTGTAATCATAATTCCATCATTTGATGTCAAGTTGTGTGGAAAATCATCATTTTCACCCTTGAAAGTCCACCATAGCTTCATGGGGACGTCACCTTTTGTGGCAGAACACATCGTCGAAACAGTTTCATCAAAATTAAAGTCTTCGTCGCCGAATGAGAATGGATTGATCGATGGAAGAACTTAAAATATTGAAGTAAAATAAAATGAAGCTTTAGAACACAAATTGCAAAATTCTTAAAGTGGGATCGGAAGTAATGGTGTCAAGATATCAACAATTTCGAACCATTAATGGATAAATACGAAGATTGATGGGAGAATCCAGCTTTATTTTGAGCAAAACATGAGTAATTTCCACGATGTCGGGCTTTAACAGCTTCAATATAAAGAGAACTGAGCTTCTGACCAGTTCTAGTGATTACAATTCCATCACTTGTAGTTAAGTTTTGAGCATAATCATCATGATCACCCTTGAATGTCCACCAGACCTTCAATGGCAAGTCACCTTTGGTGATCGAACAAGTTGTTGACACAGAGTCATCCAAGTTGAACTCGTCTTCTCCAAAATTGAAGGAAACGATTTGTGGGAGAACTTAAAAGTTAAAAAAAAACAAAATAATAAAACTTTAGAAAACAAATTGCAAAATTCTGAAAAAATATTTAAGGAGCAAAATCAGGCTAAGCTAGTTTAATTGCAAACCATTGATAGCTAAATAAGCACTCTGTTGTGCAACTCCAGCTTTATTCTGAGCGTGACATGTGTAGTTGCCCCTATGACGAGCCTTAACAGCTTCGATAGTCAACATAGACACTTTTTGTGTGGACCTTGTTATAACAATTCCATCATTTGTAGTCAAATCGTAAGGAAGTTCATCATTATCACTTTTAAAAGTGAACCAAATTTTCAGTGGCATGTCTCCTTTAGTAATGGAGCACATCGTCGAGACAGAATCATCAAAATTGAACTCTTCTTCGCCGAATGTAAATGGGACGATTTGTGGAAGAACTTAAAAGGTTAAAAAAATTAATTCATGTCGGAAACAAGTTGCAAAATTCAGAAAGAGGAAATCTGAAAAAAATGTTTAAATTTCGAACCATTAATAGCCAAGTATGCACTGTGCTGAGCCACACCAGCACTGTTTTGTGCATGACAAGTGTAGTTTCCTCTGTGACGAGCTTTAACAGCATCAATACCAAGAACACTCATTTTTTGACTATTTCTCATAATGACAATTCCATCATTTGATGTAATATTGTGAGGATAATTGTCGTCATCACCCTTGAAGGTCCAATATATTTTTAATGGCATGTCACCTTTAGTGATGGTGCACATGCCGGATATTGTTTCATCAAGATTAAGTTCATCCTCACCGAATGTGAAAGATACGATTGATGGTAAAACTTAAGAAATATTTCAAAATTATAAAATCAAGTTAATTATGGAAAAATTGCAAAATTCTGAAGTTTTATGTTATTATGCTTAAATTAAGGTTATGTTCAAACCATTAATGGATAAATATGAGCTTTGCTGAGACACTCCAGCCTTATTCTGAGAAAAACATGTGTAATTTCCCTTGTGTCGAGCTTTAACAGCTTCAATCGTCAACATTGAGACTTTCTGACTACTTCTACCGACAACAACACCGTCATTTGTAGTCAAATTGTGAGCCGAATCATCATTATCGCCTTTAAAAGTCCACCATAATTTCATGGGAACATCACCCTTCGTTATTGTACAAACTGCAGTGACTGTATCGTCAAAGTTTAATTCTTCTTCTCCAAATGAGAAAGGCATGATTGATGGAAGGACTAAGTTGTCAAAAATAATTAAGAAAATTGGGTCAGTTAGGAAAAAATTT